AAATTTCACAAATCAAGTTTTTTAATTTTTATTTTTTATGAAATAATGAATTATCAAATAAATTTATTATAAAATATTTAATTCTAATATAATATAATTACCCCACCCCTACCTTTCCGGGGATTATTTCGGTTACCGTTTCAGTCACAAATTATCTCCGGCGACTGTTCCGATTCTGACGAAAATTTTTAGGTCACAATTCAAAATTTTCGTAGGTCATAATTTCTTTATCGGTCACAATTTAAAAATTTAAAAGTCACAATTTGTTCATCGGTCACAGATCACAAAATTTATAAGTCACAATACTTATTTATGGCCACAAACATCACATTCATTGAATATAAATTATATTTAGGTCACAACTTATCAAATTATTGATCACAAATTTATAATATCGAGGTCACACATCATGTAATCATGACATTTTATTTGTGACCACCACCAAATCACTTGCCAATTCGCCACTGCCTCCACTAATGGCACCACCACTTTCACCGCCCAATAGCAACATCAACATATGAAACACCACACCCTCATACCACCAATATCACTACCCCCAAAACTGCATCCACCACAAAAAACCACCATTACTTCACCATCATCGAGATGACAGCGACGACGATGCTACCAACACCAACACAACCGTTTTTGAGCTCCAACTCACCACCCCAAAAACCCCCCAACAATACCAAAACATGGAACCACGGCCACCACTACCACTCCAACAACAAAAACCACGATCTCAACAAGGAACCACGGCTGCAGCTTCACGCACCTGACACCCAACCGTCGCACCCACACACACCCAACCGCACACCCAACAAATCTGAAACCACCACAACAGATCTGGCTAGTGACTACCACAACCACCACAACAGATCTGGCTGTGCCTGTCGGATTGCGATAGTAGCATGCTACCTTTGATTTTACAGCGACGAAGATGCTCATTGCTGATTGTAGCGGCTCTCGTCGTTGTTGTCAATAGCAGCAGTGCTCGCCACCAGTGAAATTTGCAGCAGTGTTCAACGTTGGTGATAGTAATTACAGAAGCACCGCGTGCTGCTTCTACATGGCAGTACATCGCCGATGTTAAAAAGGCGGAGAGAGAGAGAGAGAGAGAGAGAATGGGCCTGTTGGATCTACGAAACCCTAGGGAAAGAGGTTGGTAAGAGTGAAGGGGAGAAGATGGAGAGGAGAGGAAGAAGAGCCGCGGGCGGAGGAGGTGGGGTAGACCAGAGAGTCGGGAGGATGAATTGAGAGTGGAAAGGTAATTGGTTAATTGATTTTAGGGTTTGGAGTAGATGGGGATGGGGGGAGAATATATAAATTAATTTATTGTAAGTAGATATAAAAATAAAAATAAAAAAATGTTTTTAAATTATTAATTAAACCTGATTTTTGTAATATGAAAATTAATTCGTGATTTTTGAAAATGGTAATTTAAAAGTAGGGGTGTGTGTAATTTCCTCTAAATATAATCAAATTGACATTCATGATTTTTGAAAATGATAATTTATATAATCAAATTAACATTCATCACGTCCCATTTAGTACTGCGCAATAATACTAAAAATATACTACAAATTTTACAATTAG